TATTATGACGAGCTCAATAAACGGGCAACGGATCTGTGAAGCTATATATGTATTGTAGCATGTTTCGTGTGTCACGCTACAAATAAGTTCACGCCGTTGTCCCAATATAGCGGATCTATTTCCTTCGCTCGTTTACACACATTGTACAGTCATTTACACTTGCAGTATTACAATCACCGCTTACAATATTCGGCGAGACACTGGACTCTCTTCTCCGAAGGCTGATCCGAGACTAACTACTTTGAATGCATACAACCCCGCTATATAATCTCGGTTGCTGTTATGCAACGACCCCTCTGTTATAACCATGGAGACTCCTGTTAGAACTACAATGGAGCAATTGTTGTCTCCTCTGTAACGGTCTATTCTAGTGTTTCCATAGAAGCGTCTCTTCTGGACTCCAGACACGTTACAGTATGTATGATGTTTGTCAGAGTTCTGCAATTATTTTATTGCTTTTCATATATTATTAAATGCAATCTTAATCGTGTTAACAAGAGTGTGTATCAGATTCTCAAGTTACATTATTCTACTGAAACATGATTTATAACACATTAATGTAACTGAAAAGCTATGTTTTGTGTAGCTTTCAAGTATAAGTTGTAAGCAAAGTTATGAAGTTGAATACAAGTATCTCTGATGGAAACAGAATTTTCTTTCAAGTTTACCCACCATCAGCTTTCCTAAGCACAAGTATTCTATATATGTTATAGTTCAAATATCCATTGCATTTCAGTAAGGGGGTGTTGAATTGATGTAAATGAAATGTTCTTATTTTACAGGCACTGGTGAGAAACTTTCTTCCGATAAATAATGTTGCAACCTGATATCTTGTACTGCACAGGTTCTTACTCTGTTGTGTGTTTTCTGTTTTCGAACTGAGTTTGATATCATTTAACTCATTCTCCTCCAGATGGTTTTGAGCGAAGTGATGTTATACTCAGTTCAAAAACAGAAAACACACAGTGGAGTAAGAACCTCAGCAGTACAAGATATCAGGTTGCAACATTATTTATCTGGAGAAAGTTTCCCACCAGTGCCTGTAAAATATGGATATTTCATTTACATCGATTATTAATTCTAGCTATACGTGTGAACCAGTGATTTTTTGGGAGGGAGCAGTAAAAAAATGCTGGTGGTATAATAGCGTACTTTCTTACCGACAGGGCAGGTGGTATGATAGCATACCTTCTTACCGACCGAGCCCTCGGCACTGTCGGCAGCCATTTTTTTTATCAAGAGAGTGTCCGCCGGCCACCGCGGCAGCAGTGGCTGTGTTGCCCGCTAATAGCATTGAGTTGCATACCGCTGGTAAATGGAGGAATTGTTTTGGAAGAGACTGTGGACCTGTCGTCTTGACAGATTACTGATGATGATGATGAAACTGAACATAGATGGCAGCAGCGTTTCATCGAGGTGTCAAGGCGGCAATGTTGCCAACCAATAACATGGGAGTTTCACGGGTCGGATTACGACGATTACGACGACCACGAGTAAAAGGAACTCTTGCGAGGTCGAAGGTTGTTGTTACTAGATATTACGCGTTTAGTGGAAATGTGTAAGTTGTGGGTATTATTTAGGGAATCATTAGGATCATTCGAGAGAAATTCGATTTCCTCATATTTTGACAAATTTTGTGATATTATGCCGCTGTTGCTAAACTTCACAGCGCCCCTACTGAGGGTGATGTTTCTAGTAGAATGCACATTTTTACTGTTTGCTTTCTCGCTTGTTACACATAGCAGTCCGACTTATAAAGGAAATCGTTAAAGCTGATGGTCGATGGTGAACTGGTTGAAGTTGCAGAACATTTTGTGGCGCTGCGATGTAAATTTGTAAGTAGGTTTGATGTTTCTAGGACGTAGTTCCGTGTAGTCTGGTAGGCATTTACCGACGTTTTGGAAGTAAGAATTTCACCGAAGAGTGGGTGAACTATCTGCCTTAAAAACTGAGCAACAATTGGTTAGATTACACAACATAATAAGGCACTAAACTTCATAATCCCTTCCGACCTATGCTCTGAGAACAAAGAAATCCACGTCACTATATAACTTCTATATCACTATAGTTGTATATATGTACAACCTCTGTATCACAAGAATTCTTGGATAGACTTGAAAGGATTCTGACGATGGTGTATACTGTACTTCTTTTGGCTTATTTTGGACTTCATCCATCATCTGGTATGTAAAAGACAAAAGACCACGACGTTTCGGAGACTGGATCTGTCTCCGTCTTCAGGTGGGTAGGGAAGGATAAACCTACTCAGTTGGGCCCGTTAGAAAGAGCTAGTCTGAAACACTGGACCAGGATTCTTGTAAATCAATTCATTTGCCACCCACAAAAATGAAATAAAGTTTTAACATGTCCATGGTTTATGCTGGCCATCTTACAGTGTATACACTTTTTCACCTTATTCTTCACTTCCACACTGCATGTTTCGGCACTTCTTCACATGTCTTTATGCACGTTAAACTATTGTACTGCATGCCACAATGTCTCCATTCTAAAATGACTAAAATCTGTGTTCGTTAAATAGGACGATGAATTCTAAATAATAAAACTTTTCAGGATTCTTCCTACATCGCACTCAAACACGCGAATTACGCCAATCCTCTTTTTATGTGAGCATTCCTCCTACATATATTTTTGTATCGTGTTCTGTGTTGTGTTTTGCTCCTGTTACTGCAGGACAGCCAGGATAGTGTTACATGCAGTACAACGCATGCAGTAACAGGAGCAAAACACAACACAGAACATGATACAAAAATATATGTAGGAGGAATGCTCACATAAAAGAGGATTGGCGTAATTCGCGTGTTTGACTGCAACATAGGAAGAATCCTGAAAAGTTTTATTATTTAGAATTCATCGTCCTATATGACGAAAACAGATTTTAGTCATTTTAGAATGGAGACATTGTGGCATGCAGTAGAATAGTTTAACATGCATAAAGACACCTGAAGATGGCACATTAGTGCCGAAACATCTAGTGTAGAGGTGAAGAATAAGGTGAAAAAGTGTATACACTGTAAGACGGTCAGCATAAACCACGGACATGAATCGGTATAACAGGATGCTAAAATATAACAAAGTTTCAACATTATGAAAGACTCTGCATTCTCTTGCAGCAGGAATGGCGAGAATTCTGCTACAGAGAGCTGAAGAAACATTTCCTGCTGAGACAGAAAGGATGGTGAGTGTTTTGTGCTTGTGTCCACAGACAATTTTATTGTCATGAGTCAATTCTCATATCTTAAGAAACCAAACTCTTTATGCGAAGCTTTTGTTAGTTTTCATAATCCATCTGGGGAGTTTACTTGGTTCATCACATTATAACAGTTTGGTATGTTATGTGGGAGAGGAATTAATTCAAGGGGAGTGATAATGGTTAGGTCATATAGCACACTTGTGAGAATGAGAAGTGTGTACAAAGATTTTGACAGACAGCCTGAAAGAATGAGACCACTTGGGAGACAGTTGTGAAGATGGATTTTTTAAAGATTTAGTTATGGGGTTTTGGACTGTGTTTGTTTGTGTCAGGATGCAAAGTCATAATGGGCATGTGTGAACATAGTGATGAGTTCTTAGGTTCCATAAAGAGCAGATATGTATTGTCTGTACTTCCACAGGGACCACAGGTTTCTCAGGAAGGTCCCTGCATTATGAACTTAACACTTGCTAAGATTATGAAGTGTGTAGAGAAGAAATCTGTACAGAGCAGCTGTTATGGGTTACATGTAATGAGAAACAGCTACAGCAAGGAGAGCATATATTGTTTCATGTATGGTGTTGTACAGCCATGACTGATAGAAGATGTGATGCCTTTACAGAACTGTACAAATTCAGAGAAGGTTTTAGTGGGTCCATATGGTGAGACATATCCAGCAAGTCATGATGCAAACCAGGCCATGAATATAAAACCTGAGGAAGTCTCAGACTCACAAGAGGAAGCGGATCCTCTGCAAATAACAGTTCAGGAGGTAAAGGCTGAACGTGAGGTGAGCTGTATGCTTCTGTATGTCAACTGTTAGGCAGATATCACAGATAGGCAGGAATTCCTGTTGCCTCTCTCATCTCCATCTGTCTGGCTGTCTGTCTGTGCACATAGGACAGTTCCACTGTGCTGCTGACTCGCCTTTGAAGGCCCTTCTCTGAAGTGTCTCTTAGACAGTTATAGTTTGTTGAATGTATGCTGCTTGTGATGTACCACTTCCATTTCCTTTTAAGCAGTTCTGATGTAGATGAAATTAAATTTTGTGTAAACTGAACTGTATTTGTGAGAAATTCTATAGCAGCAAAAATCCATAGGAAGTCACGGAACTGCTCGTAGCTAGATAACACATGTTAGAACCAAGAATTCAAATTACTATAACTCTTGTGAGCTAATTCCAATGAATCCCACAAGATATTTTTCATGTGATGAAGGTTACAAAAGATTCTGCATTCTCTTGCAACAAGAGTGGTAAGAATTGTACTGTATTGAGCTGAAGAAACATTTCTTGCTATGAGAGGAAGGATTGTGTTTCATGCTTGTGTGCACAGACAAGAGTTTTAGTTTCATATGTCAGTTTTCTTCATCAAGGAAACTAAATATTTTGTGACCCGCTTCTGTTTGTTTGCATAATCCGTGTGGGGAGTTCCTTACGCTTGGGTGATAACAGTTTGGGATATTATATAGGAGAGTGGTGTCGGTAAGTCATGTAGTACACATTCAACAGAGAGATGCATACAAATTTTGGATGGAAATCTTAAGAGAAAGACCTAAGTGCAGATGGAGAGATGCTATTAAGATAGATTTTAAAGAAATAATGTGGAAGGGTTTGTACTGGGTCTGGTTGCCTTAGGATACAGAGCCATGATGTGCATGTGTGGCCACAGTAATTAGCCTTTAGGTACCATCACTGACTCCATGGAGCTGAGTGAGTCCTTGAGATGCCACCAGTTGCTTGGCCACAAAAAAATTACCCAACATTGTATAGAACCTGAAAGCATATTGACATGTTTGCAAAAAGCTGTCACTATTCCCTATCCTGAGCCATATGAATCCAGTCCACACCACCCCATCCTATGTCTCTTAAAGATCCATTTAAATATTGTCTTCCCACCTAGGCCTAGGTCTTCCTACTGATCTCTTTCATTCTGGCTTTCGCTGAATATCCTATATGCATTCCTCTTCTCCCCAATGCCTGCTATATGACCTGCCTATCTCATCCTCCTTGACTTGATCATTCTAATTATACGTGGAAAAGGATACAAGTTTTGAAGCTCCTCATTATGCATTTTTCTCCAATCTCCTGTCACTTCATCTCTCTTTGGTCCAAATATTCCTCAACACCCTGTTTACAAACACCCTCATTCTATCTTCCTCCCTTAATGTCAGAGACCAAGTTTCACACCCATACAGAAACACAGGCAAAATTATAGTTTTTGTATGCTGCAGTGACCAGTAGTTCCTTGGGAAGGTCACTGAGCTATGAACCGAGTACTTTCTAGTGATTGTGATAGCTGTAGAGAAGAGTATCCGTACAAAACAGCTCTTATGAGTTAAATGTGACGAGAAACAGCCATAGCAAGGAGAGCATAAGCTGTTTAATGTGTGGTGTTGTGTATCCATTTCTGAGAGGGATGTGATGGTTTTTACAGAACTGTACAAATTCGGAGAACACTTTAGTGGGTCCATATGGTGAGACATGGCCAGCACCTCATGATGCAAATCAGACCATGAATGTAAAAGCTGAGGCAGTCTCAGATGCAGAAGAGGAAGAGGATCCTGTCCTAATAACATTTCCAGAAATAAAGGCTGAACCTGAGGTGAGCTGTATGTGCACTGTTAGGCAGATGATACAAATGTACAGAAATGCCACTTGTCTTTCTGATCCATCTCTGTGAACATGAAACAGCTCTACCTCGCTGTTGACTTGATTTTGAAGGTCTTTTTTTCCCCCTGAAATGTTTCAAGGCAACTGTAGTACGTTGAATGTTGCATGTGATGTACCACTCCACTAAGCAGTGCTTTCTTACCACATCATAGAGTTCCCAGAATCTATAAATGCTGAAGTTTATCATTTATTTGTTTTCTGTCTTGATGCAGTTTGTATCCATGTAATAACATAGAGCTGTCATTATGTTGAGGATTTGTTATAGGATAACTAATGATTCTCTATGGCTTTGTGATAATGTTTGAAGTAAATTTAATATACCTGACACTGTTGGAGTTGCCTCTGTACTTGCTGTCAGGTGAGTGGTTGTCATAACAGATTTTTTTATTTTCAGTTAGACAGGAAGGTGACTAAATGTTAGATACAGAGAATGTGTAAGGGGTGTAGAAAGCAATAGTGAAGAATTGGCATTGGCAACACATCCTAAAATATAGACACAATTGTGGTTAAGTGGAATCTACAATGGCTGTAATTAAACACACAAAGAAAGCTAGTAATGAAAATAAGAACATTTCTACATCTACATATAGGCGGAGGTTCTTACTTTTCTCGGCCGGTTCACAGCAACTGATGCACCACTGGCTTCAGGGTGCATACAAATTTTGCCAATGTATCGGTATGTCTGTGATCAGTAACGTCTGGAATGAAGTATACAGTTCACAGGTCACAGAAGTTGTTGAAAATGCTGTCCCCCTACACGTAGACATTCCTTGCAGCAGCAGAAGGGGTTCTGATTAACCCTTAAAGCTGTTGTGCCAGAATTGTTGCAATTTCCCTATGAATATTCTTTTTAGTTCTTCCTCATGGGGTTTACTGTTTTAAACTTTGCCCTGCAAAGAACCACAGAAGAAAGTATCTAAGAATTAGAATTAAGGTGCTGATATTTCTGTCCCCAAAAGTACCAGGCAAAGCTTGCATAGACATACATGAAATGTGGGCAGTAGCCTAGTCTTGCTGAAACCAGCCATAGAGTCTTTCTGCTTTTGTAACTCTCAAAAGAATTACCTGAGAAAGACCTGTACATAATTTTTGTTTGTTTGATGGGGGTGGGACTGAGTCCACTTGGTTTGGCGGCCACTTCTGGCCTATTGTACCAGCCCCAGATGATAGGTGAGGGTGATTATGGAGCAATTGGTGGAATGAAGATTGGCAGGGTAAACTGAAGTACTCGGAGAAAACCCCGCCCCAGTGCCACTTTGTCCACCACAAATCTCACTTGACTGACCCGGGATTGAACCCATGCCGCCGCCGTGAGAAGCCAGCGACTAACCACTTTAGCTGTGGCGCGGCCTTTGAACTATACATATCTTTCACATTTAATTGTTCCTTTAAAAAATGCAGGTAGAGCAATCCTTGTTGCCCTTACAGCAAACCAGACTCCAACTTTCACTGGATGGAGCCATACTTCATGGGTTAGATGTGGATTTAGTGAAATCCAGTAGCAGTCATTTTTCATATTTATTTTTCCCTGCAAGTGAACCCGTGCCTCATCAGAAAAGAATGTCGGTTCAAGATGAATATCATCTTCAGTGATCCACTGTAGGAACCAACTGCAAAAATGAACCTGGCTAGCTGGATCGCACAGCTGCATGGCATGCATTATTACTGGGGCCCGGATTTCTATGACCTCAAAACTGTAAATATATGCATGCACTTATGACCCAAAATTACATCAAGTATGACACAAAATGTGTAAAATATGACCTTAAATATTAAATGGGACATATCATTTCACAATTTTAATTATAACTTTTACTAGAGTTTAAGAATGAAAATGATGAATATATGATAGTAGCCCCCTCGTTGGTATCTCCACCTTATCATGGTGAGGGAGTTTGAGTATGCCAAGGACCCTGAGAGCTATACCAGCGGTAGCGCAGCTACTGGCAGGGCCTCCCTTGCTGGACAGGTCAAAGGGTAGGCATCAGACGAAGAGAGACACCAAAAACTGATGCCGGAAGCAACGTCATCAGTAGCGACTTGAAGCACAGAGCAAATGATGCTCGAGATGGTTCCAGTTCGTATAGCAGCAGGCGTGACCAGAGTGGTTTGAACGGCTGCTGTACTGCGATGTGGAAAGCAAATGGAAAATCTACCACATTATCACTTTTCCTGGATAGTCTCTTTCCAGAAACAGAGATACCATATATGCGAGATGTTTCCTCTGGAGGCAAAACAATCCGGAGGTAAACTACTCCCCCAATCGGAACTCCGGGCTGGAGTGTTTCTAGAGGAAATGTCATGCAGGCGTTACAACAAGAAAAAGTGCGAAGATCAGAAGAAACAGCATGGATACAAGATTGGAACATGGAATGTCAGGACCTTGAATCAAGCAGGAAAATTGGAGAATTTGAAAACGGAAATGGAGAAGAATGAGGTGTCTGTTCTAGGTGTCAGCGAAGTGCAATGGAATGGACAAGGTGAAATAAGAAGAGGTGATTATACGGTGTATTATTCCGGAGGTGAACGGGCTGAAAGAGGTGTGGCAATAGTGGTGCATAAAAGTGTAGTGAGGAGTGTTGTTAAGAAGATTGCTTGTAATGACAGAATTATTGCTCTGAAGTTAAAGGCGGAACCGGTAGATATACTGATTATACAAGTGTACATGCCAACATCAGAGTATGAAGATGATGAAGTGGAAAAAGTGTATGACACAATTGAAGAAATTCTTCAGGAAGATGGAAGAGGAGACACAAACAGCATCATATTGGGAGACTGGAACAGCATTGTTGGAGATGAACCATATCAGAATATTGTTGGATCACATGGACTAGGAAGACGGAATCACAGAGGTCAAATGCTTATTGACTTTTGTGAACGAAATGGATTGATTGTTACCAACACTTGGTTCAAGAAGCCAAAGAGAAGAATTTACACATGGAAGGCACCTGGGGATTGGAAGAGGCATCAGCTGGACTACATCCTTGTGAAACATCGATTCAGAAACAGTGTGAAGGATGTGAAGACGCTTCCTGGGGCAGACATTGACTCTGACCACAACTTGCTGGTTGCCAAGTTCCGAACCAGGTTGAAGAAAATTATAGGATTTCGAAAGCGCAGACCCAGATGGGATTTGGAGAAGTTATATGCTCAAAGACAAAGCGTGCAAGAGACTCTAGAAGAGAAACTCGGTGCAATTGAAGGTGAAAGCGGAAATGCTGAAGCGCAGTGGAACGATATAAAAGAATGCATGTTAGATACTATCAGTGATTTGGTAGGTAAAGTTGAGAAGATAGCAAGAAAACCATGGGTTACACAGGAGATGATGAGTAAAATGGAGGAGCGAAGGAAATGGAAGAATGTCAACAATGAAGAAGGCAGGAGGAAATACAGGAGACTGAGGAATGAATTGAAAAGAGCCACGGACAGGGCCAAAAAGGAATATCTTGAGAAGATATGTAATGAGATTATGGAATTTCAAAGAACAGGCCGTTATGATTTGATGTACATGAAGACAAAAGAACTAGGATGGAAAGAGAATCATGGGATTCAAAATGTTGGCATCGAAGACTCCCAGGGGAATAGAATAGTAGATCAGAGGCAAGTGCTGAAAATTTGGGAAAATTATATTTCAGAACTATATGATCGACCTAATCGGCCAGAAACCTTAGAAGTTGAACCGGAAGAAGAAGTAGATACAGACGAGAAAGGACCATATATTTTACAAAGTGAGGTGGAAAAAGCTATCAAGGAAATGAGGAAGGGAAAGGCTACAGGAGATGATGATGTACCTGGAGATGTGCTCAAGTTACTGGGAGAAGGTGGTTTGAAAACACTGACAAAACTAATGAACACCATATATGAAAGTGGAGAGTGGCCCAAGGACTTTACAGAAGTTACAATGATTGCCTTAAAGAAAAAGACAAAAGCTACAAAATGCAGCGACCATCGCACAATAAGTCTTATTGCACATACAGCAAAGATAATAGCAAAGATACTTAAAAGAAGAATTGAAAGGAAAATAGAGGATGTACTTGGAGAAGATCAGTTTGGATTTAGAAGAGGAAAAGGAACCAGGGATGCAATTGGGATGATGAGAATTATAGCGGAACGAACTTTGGAGATAGATGAAGAACTGTGTGTTTGCTTCATAGACTGGCAGAAGGCATTTGACCGGGTAAACTGGACCAAATTAATGCAGATCCTGAAAGAAACAGGTATCGATTGGCATGAAAGAAGATTGATTAGCAAATTGTACATGGATCAGAAAGTTAGAGTACGACTGGACATATGGGAGACAGGAAGTGTGCTGATTGGAAGAGGAGTTCGACAAGGATTCTGTTTATCACCAAGTCTGTTCAACTTGTACAGCGAACGCCTTACCAAGGAAGGNGTGCGCAATGAAGAAGTGTTAATTAGAGTCAGTGAGCAGAGGAATATCCTACATGAAATAAGAAAATGGTAGGCTAATTGGATTGGTCATGTTTTACGCAGAAACTGCCTTCTAACAGAAGTTATCGAAGGAAAGATAGATGGGCAGATAGAAGTGACAAGAAGACGAGGAAGAAGACGTAAGAGGATGCTGGATGACCTTGGGGACAGAAGAGGATACTGTCATTTGAAGGAGAAAGCTCCGGATCGCATTAAGTGGAGGAATTGTTTTGGAAGAGACTGTGGACCTGTCGTCTTGACAGATTACTGATGATGATGATGATGATGATGATGATGATAATAGTAGGCCCTACTTACCAAATTAGCTCTATTGTGTTTCTGAAGGAAAGGAAACTAATGGAATTGTGACATTTCATACTGGATTAAACCATTTCTTGTTTTCTTTTTAGTATTGATTTTTGTGTTCATATTTTAGACACACACTGGCGCACATGATATAAACATTAACTTAACTCTGTTAGCTAAAAACACAATATAGAAGAACAGAAGCTTATTCGGCTCTCAGTTTTCAGTGTTCCTGTAACACAAGATATTTGCGTCTCAGTTTTCACTGTTACAATTACAAACTGAATTGAACAAACTTCGTTCCACATCACATGATGTGACAGGAGCATAATTGAAGAATGTTAGATCATTTGGTAACAGATCTGGATCATCTGCAAATGTTTCTGGTTTACCGGAAAGTATATGTGCAGTCTTGCTTATTGTTGAATAACCAGCATTCTGATGAACACTTTCTATTTAGGTTTTACTCTTGTTGCTTACTTCACCATGAGATCGGTTTAGTTCATTCTCAGTGCGTTTTACAGTGTCCAACACATCACAGAGTTCAGTCCCTACAGCTTCCAGGCGAGTTATTGCACTTGAAATTGAACAGACATTTGACTTTATATCTGTCAGATTTTGTGCTCGAGCAGTAAAGAAGCCCTTGACAGCTTTAATTGAGCTTGACTCGCAGCTGTCAAAGTCATTAACCAATGGTTGTGCAATATTCACAATAATATGCGACAGCGTCCAGCCGTGTACCCTACCGTGTGATCATAGGCTGTGGAGGAAGTGGCAGTAGAGGAGCTTCTTTTTTAAATTTCAGTACTTTAAGAGGGTCCTTGATGAATATTTTCTTTCCATCTGGAATTAGCCTATCTACGTCCAGAAAATTTCTTAGCACTTCTTCAGCCACTCTATGCAATGCATGAGCGAGGCAAGTAATATGGATCATTTTCGGGTAGAGAATTTGAAGTCCTTTGGCAGCCTTCCTCATGTAGGGAGCAGCATCTGTTACTAGGAGAAGGACACTATTTCGCTGTATTCCATCTGGCCACAACATGTTCATGGAATTATCAAATAGGACAGCTATAGTCGAATGCTTTGCACTTTCAAGAACTTCACAATCAAAAAGAAATATCTCTCCCTGTTGATCTTGTTTCAGGGTTCCAACTATAATTCGTGATATACCACCCATCTATGTCAGAAGTCTCACCCAAGGAAACCCGTATCGTGTTGTCAGCAATAGATGTTTGAATATTATTTAACATATCTTCATAACATGTAGAGAGATAATTTTTCTTAACGTCCATCACTTGGGATAGGATGACAAGTGTATGTCTCCAGAAATGTTCCACTATATTATATATAAAAATTCAATTTGTTTTACCACAGCATCCTTCCTTACATTAAAATTATGTTTATGAGTGTGTGTGTATAAATTTATTTTAAGATAATTTTATTCGTGAACCAATGTGGGTTGGTTTTATCTTCTTTAAGAGGAATTGCCGTCTATCCCTTGGTGGTTTGTTCTGTAAATAAATTATAATTTTAGAGTATGTTATATAAGTATTTATATAGGTATAAGGTGTATAAATTAATAAAGGTTTTAGGTACATCTTACCTTGTTATTAACAGTGTGGTTTGTATGCATGCTGTGCTGCTTGTGATGTTTGAAGAGTGCTGTGTAATGTAGTTTATATATCTTGTGTCTGTGACATTGGAGTGGGTGTGTTCACATGTTGTCTTATAAGGTCAAACATGTTTTGTTGGTTATTGGTTTCTTTTATTTGTTTTTGCTCATCTATCAGTTTATTGTGTTTGTTATAGTAATATATTTGGAATTCTTCTTTTATGCTCATTATGTTGCCCTTTTTAGCTTTTTCCAGGATTTCCATAACTGTTGTTATCAGTCCGTATTGATGGCGTGTGTTTAATGTGAGTTGGGCGAAAGCTGATTCATCTTTGTTTAATCTAATATTTCTTATGTGTTCATTGTATTGTGTTGATAGTTTCCCTCCCATTTGGCCTATGTATACCTGTTGGCAACTTTGGCATGTTAGTTTGTATATTCCACTTTGCCAGTAAGGGTTAATGTTTTGTTTTTCGTGTAATAGTCTACCTGTTGTATGATTAGTTTTAAAGGCTATCTGTATGTTAGTATTCCTAAATAATTTTGTAATTTTCCATATGTAATTTCCTGTGTATGTGTAGGTGACCCATTTTGTTCTTTTTTATCTTTATTGATTGGCTTACTTATTTTTTGTTTAAGTTTATTATATATTTGTGTGATATCTTCTTTTCTATATCCATTATTTAGTGTGATGTTGATAATAGTATTTAATTCTTTGTTCTTTTGCTGTTTTTCAAATGGTAGTGTAAGCAGCCTGTGTATCCAGTTTTTATGTGCTGCTAATTTTTTTTCTTTGAGGTGACATGATTTGTTATTTATTGTTACGTCTGTTGCTGTGGGTTATCTGTATATTTCCATGTTTATTTGTCCTTTCTCATTAGTAAGATTTAAGTCTAGGTAGGTTATTTGTTTGTTTATTTCCTCATTTATTGTGAATTGTGTATTTTTATATTGTGCATTGAATTGTTTAAGGATGTATTGGGTTGTTATTTTTGTTTGATTATAGATTATGATTATATCGACTACATATCTGTTATTGTAAACAATGTTTTTTTTTTCTTCAAGTAGAAGTTTTATTTTACTTTGTTCAAGATGTTGTAGGAAAATTTCTGCTATTATGCTTGACAGAGGTGAGCCCATGGCTATGCCTGATTTTGGTTTGTAGAATTTAACATTGTATTGAAAATAATTTTGATTTAAAGTCATTTTAAGTATAGCCATAATTTCTTTTGTGATGTTTTTGTTTGTGTGATTTAATTTAAGTAGGTTATTGGTTATGGTGAGTGTTTCATTTATTGGAATGTTGACATAGAGATCTTTAATGTCCATTGTTAATATTTTATGATTTGAATTTAATTTTAATTTTCTGATGTTTTCTGCAAATTGTGTCGTATTCATAATGTTATACTCATATTTTAAATTTAGGATGTTACTTAATTTTTGGTGTATGTATTTGGCTACTTTATATGTAGGAGCATTGGTATTATTTATTATTGGCCTAATTTGGGCCTCCAGTTTGTGAATTTTAATTTTTGCTTTCATATTGGGTGCTTGTGAGTTCATTTGGTGAACCAGTTTTTGTTATTGGGTCTATTATGATTTTGCATTGTTTTAAGGTGTTTTGTACAGTTTTTTTGGAATTTTTGTGTGGGGTCTTTGTTTAGTTTCGTGATATTATTATCAATAAAATATTTAACAGTTTTATTCAAATTGTCTTTATAAATAATCACTAATGTTTTCCCTTTGTCTGCTTCTGCTGGTGTTGCTTTATGTTGTATGTGTATTAATTTTTGTTGTATTTGTTTAGTTGTGTATATTTCTTCTTTGTATTCTTTGTTTGCTGTATTGTGGTTTGATATAATTTTTTGTAGGTTCTTTGCTGCTAGGTATCTAATAGCTTCTTGTTGGGTAGTGTATTTTATTTGTCTTATTGCCCAACACATGTTCGTGTTAACATGCCTTCAAATGAGGCACAGTTGCCTGATGCACATGTTGCTGTTGCAAGGCGTTCATACTCCTGCTTCTACACAGTGTGGTGTGCGCATTATCATTTCATACATCCAGAAGTAGTGGCCATTTTCTGGCAAACGCCAAACGTTTACATTGTCAAGGAATCTTTGTGTTGCAAACTAGGAGATGTCTCATATGGATTTGTTCATTGTATCAGGGGTGGACATGTCTATTGAACCGACAGTTAGCTATTCATCTTTTGGGCCCTTTTATACACACATACATACATAGGTGTATATATATATATATACACACACACATACAGGGTGTCCCAGGAGGAATGTGCCAGACTTCGGGGAGGGCGTTCCTTATGTTAAAGTATGCCGATATAACACAAAACACCTATGTCCAAAGTTCAACGGTTACAGAGATAATGGCCTGAGAAAAGTGTGGTCTTCTGGTGGGTCCATGCACTATACCTGTCAGCTGCCATGTCTTATCTGTTTGTCCTTGAGTGTCATGATTCACATTAGCCATAAGCTCATGCACTACCTATGGAGTATGTTTCGGAGGGGTCATGATTAGTTGTGTGATGAGTTGCTGAAATGCCTCTTGTGTTTTCACACGTGGAATATTGTGATATGCATTTTATGTGTGGATTTTGCAGTGGCAATGCACGTGCTGCTGTTGAAGAATACCAAAGGCATTTTCCCGATTGAAGGATTCCATCTCGAAGTGTATTTACGCGAATTCACCAGACATTGCGTGATACTGGTTCTCTTCCGAGTGTTTCTGTGCACTCTGAAAGGGAGGATGTACGTATGATAAACACACGAGAGAACATTCTTGAGATGGTTCAGAGAAGTCCGCATCTGTCCACTTGTAGAATGGCCTCTCGCATCGGCGTATCACGTATGCAGGTGTGGCGAACTTTACATGATGAAGAATTGTATCCTTACCATGATCAAAGGGTACAACATCTGGAACCAGGCGACCATGCACAGCGTATGGATTTGTGCCACTGGATAAAAGCTCATCGCTAACTGTTAAGCGTCATTTTATTCGGTGATGAGGCATCTTTTACCCTGGATGGTGTAAATAATTTACGAAATGTGCATACATGGTCCCATAATAATCCACATGAGATAATGGAAACGAAATTCCAAAAGAGATTTTCCATGAATGTACGTTTAATACAGTTATGTGGTTGGCTTATAGCGCAGTCAGCCATGTTAGGTCAGCGCTTGCCAGTCATGTGTCATGTATAGTGCTTGGAAACCCTAAGGACAATTATGACATGGCGAGCGAGTATTTTGTACTTCAATTTTATGGCTTATCGACACTCACAAGTTAGTATCATTTTCTAGCTCAGCCTTTATTGTTATTTCATTTATGGAGCCTATCCACTATTAATTAGATGCCTGTCCAGCCTTACAAATGCATAATTTTACTTAATTTGGAATTTGTTAAACAGTGGCAGTGCAGCTTAACTTCTGTTGACTCAGAAACCTCCATACATGCTGATGGACTCAGGCACACACCTCTCAGGGGGGTGCTCTCACTGTACTGGGGATTCAAACTTATTTCTCTTCCTGTTAGGATTTTTCATGTTATTTACTCTCATTTTCCAGGGTAATTTGAATGAACTTCAACCTGTACATGGTGAGGAGCGACGATATTCCTGTGATAAGTGTGGAGATTCATTCAGTCAAGAGCAAATTCTGATAGCACATCGACGCATTCACAGTGGGGAGCAGCCATTTATATGTGACATATGTAATGAGTCATTCAGTCATCAGAGTAGTCTGAAGACACAACAGTACATACATAGTGTGGAGCAACCATTTTGCTGTGATGTATGTAAAAAGTCATTCGGTCATCAGAGGAGTCTGAAGAGACATCAGCACATACACAGTGGGCGGCAACCATTTTGCTGTGATGTGTGTAATAAGCCATTCAGTCGGCGCAGCCATCTGAAGAGACATCAGCACATACATAGTGGGGGGCAACCATTTTGCTGTGATGTATGTAATAAGTCATTCCGTGATCAGAATCATCTGAAAACACATCAGCGCATACATAGTGGGGAGAGGCCATTTTGCTGTGATGTATGTAATAAGTCATTCAGTCAGCAGAGCCATCTGAAGAGACATCAGCGCATACATACTGGGGAGAAGCCATTTTGCTGTGATGTATGTAATAAGTCATTCAGTACGCAGAGCCATCTGGAGAGACATCAGCGCATACATAGTGGGGAGAGGCCATTTTGCTGTGATGTATGTAATAAGTCATTCAGTACGCAGAGCCATCTGGAGAGACATCAGCGCATACATACTGGGGAGAAGCCATTTTGCTGTGATGTATGTAATAAGTCATTCAGCGATCAGAGTAATCTGAGGACACATCAGCGCATTCATGTTGATGTGTGCAGTAAATCATAGAGCAGCAGAGATGGCAAAGACAAAAACAACTCTGTCCAGTGTGACTATTTAAGTTCTACCACTTGAAAACTCAGCACCCTTACATATTTCGATCCTTACGGATCATCTTCAGAGGCAACATCAAAACTTATTCGGAAAGCACTATCACAATAGGTGTTCTTTAGTGCTAAATTACACAAATATGCAATATACACAATATTCAACTTTTCACAATGACAGCAGCCTTCCTAGTATTAAAACTTTTAAAGTTTTTAAAAAACTTTGTTGTTTAAGCTAAAATTTATAGATCAAGCAGGTTCGTGTCACTTCTCCTATCATCTTTCTTGGAGGGTGCTGAACTTGTGTCGCCTGTCTATCTTGAGAAGGAGATTCTTAGTATCGTCCTATGTTTGTTCGTGGCTTGCTGTGTTGTTTTCACGGGAAATGAACTGAGTCCCATGGTACAAAACATCTGTGCAAATGGGTTCCATTTGATTCTGACTGCTGAATGTGCGCAATGCCGTGTCTTGTTGAGTGGAAACTGACATGACATGACATCCTACAATTATGGTGTTAATTCAGCACTTAAAGCTAATGATTAGTAGAGTGTAGTCACTGAAACGGATCGACAGCTTATGCAAATAATTCAGCAGCATTATATGCTTTTTGCTATACGTTATCTGTGCTCTTCTGCCATTACATGTGAGTAAATTCGGTGATCAGTTAGTTTCAGATTAATATATCGCTCGGATTTAATATATTGAGATGACTACTGTGGATTGGTCACATGAATACAAACTACACTATATTGGACATGACAGACAAGATATCTGTTTGCGGGATACTTGGTATATTGATTATAAAAAGAAAGTTTAATAAAGGTGGATTGATTATGCTTGTGGAGAAATATAATAGTACAGTGGAACCTCGCTTAACGAGCACCTCTCATAACGAGTAATTTGCATAACGAGCAAAACAAGTTGTAAAAAAATGACTCGCTTAACGAGCGACATTTTGCATAACGAGTGACGAGAGGGGAAGTCCCGGATTGTGCACTTCCTACATCAGTCTTTGTTTAGCGCTCGTTCCGCTAGCATCTTAGTGTCACTTGTGATCATACATTTTTCCAAACTTGTGTTCAGACATATTATTTGTGATTTTTTTTTTGTACAAAGTTTAATAACCCTTGCAAAAATGTCCCCGAAGAAAAAGCCGCAAAAAGACAGCCATACGAGAATAAAAATAACCGTAGAAATGAAATGTAAAATCATTGAAAAACGAGAATGAAGTGCGAGCGTGGCTCATCTAGCACGCACATACAATCGGTCTACATCAACGATTTGCACAATTTGGAGTTGTATTGTGTTTCACAGCAAGAAGTTGTGGAGGAGAGTTTGTCAGAGGAGGAGGAGGAGGTAACAGCAAAGAAACAATCTTCTGGCACAATAAGAGAAATGCTGAAAGCATGGGAAACTGTTGCATCGTACATTGAGAAGCATCACCCTAATAAGGCAGTGGCTATGCGTGCTACAGATTTATTTAATGATAATGCTGTGTTCCATTATCACCAGATTTTGAAGCGTCGGCAAAAACAAATGTCTCAAGACAGCTTTGTAGTAAGAAAGAATTAGATATATATCATAAATAATAAACTAATCATTTTGATTCTTTTTTTGTTTTCTGCAAATCGAATTCACATTCCAGGTTGGTTCATTCTGCATAGAAGAAAAGATTAAGATTATTCACACTCCTTAACAATGTATATATAATTTTCTTTGAATAAACTTTATACATAACATTTTTTTAGTTTTTTTTTCCGCATGGAACACATCATATTTTACATTAATTTGTATGGGGAAAATTGTTTCGCTTAACGAGTGTTTCACATTAAGAGTAAGATTCTGGAACGAATTATGCTCGTTAAGCGAGGTTCCAGTGTAATAAGAATTTAATTGAAAGGATCATGAAAGACTTCCTTACATCCTTCCATTGTGAATATCAGCAGATAAATAGCAGTTGTCACGAGATCAAAAAAGAAAGTAGTTTGGCACTCAGGCACTCCTTTGCCTTAGAGGGAAAGAGTCATCTGAAAATTGTGACATAAGTTTCAGTGTAATTATATAATTCTTTAATAAAATTAGGCAATATCATCAATATTATTAATTGCAATTCAGAGGTTTCATATAGTGGAATGACACAGGAGGAATAGCTTTTAATTGTACTTAAATTCAGTGCAGTTATGCCCCTCCCTCCATACCCGTTTTCTTCACTGCCTGAACTGCATCATAACCGAAGCTAAGTCTTGGTCACTCTGAGCAAGTGTTCTCTGATTACTGACACTTTTCTTGCCCAGGAACACTTGCTTAATTTTGCATAAGATGTACCACCAATGGTAGGACAGTGGAGACAGAAGTTATGTTTTAATGCCTCGAGTCTGGCTGAAGTACTGCCAAAGCTGTGGACTGAATGCCCCAGTTCCTCACAAAATTGTATTCTAACCAAACTCAGATGTTGCAGGTACAAGAAGGGTGATGGCGATTTGTTCCAGTATCAACCCAAAATGAAGTGATTGAGATGACCCCCTCCCACCCCCTACACAGGAGTAAGGAGGGGACATGATGGCAGTAAGAATGCTGTATCCAGAGAAGTTACAGAGACCCCTCTGTTGCATGTCTTGCCCCCAGGGGGAATTATCATTGCTGTTGCAAGTTAGGGAGCATGAACTGTTTGTTATTAGTAATTGTTCTTGCCATTCTTTAGGCAAGTATCTTAGCAATAAAGATTTTCTGTTATTTCTGTGCAGCTGTGTTAATTTCTAGCAGTAGTTCTTTTCAAATTCAGTTTTTCTTTTAATTTCTGGACAAACATTTCTCATAATCTGAGTCACTTTTCCACATTTGAATCACTTCCTGTTTGGCCAGATCATCTGTTGTCTCATACTGTATGCTCTGCACATTTCTTCATTTCCATAAATGTTTAACATTTCCTAAATGCCTGTGGGTATTTCATCAGTTTTACTGACAAACTGCACTTGATCCTCTGTAATAAATTTTTTTCTTCTATTCTAGCAAAGAAACAAAACACTTCTCCAGTAAACACTACTATTGGAAAAGAATCTCATTTGAAATAATATTACAATTCTTATGAGTGACACCTCCCATCTCTTATCTCTGCTACTTGAAAGAAGAAAAATATTGTAACCCCCTCCAATGTGGCCATGCCCTGTCGCCACTGCCTTCACCAGTTGCAGTCCTTGTTCTCCTTCAGTGTTGCCACTTTACACTTTGCCTCAGTATCATAATGCAAATGCTCATTTGCCGATGTAACAGTACAAAATTAGAAAGTGCAGCACTGAATGTTAGGACTGCAGTTTTCTGTGATATGGCACCAGACTCACAGAGTTAGAAGTCTGCAGTCTTAAGAGATGTCAAAGAGTGAATGATTGACAGTGGTACATCACGGTGGGTAAAGGGCCTATAGTGAAGAAGATCAAAAATAATTTTTCACCACATTCATTCTGAATGTAAGAGAAATGTCCACAATAATTAACAAAGTCTTGAACCTAGAAGGGAATTACTATGCTTTTAGTCTCCATGTCGTCACACCTTGGGATGCAGACAGTGAAAATGGTTCCATGCTCAGCTGGGGTTCTGTAGTCCTAATCCCTCTTCCACTCACAAAAGGTTAGTTCATGTTTCCCATCTGGGCTTACGTACAAGACTAACCCATCTGCCTACAGATCACTAGTGGATCTCACTTTAATTGTTTCTTGCATCCTGTTGTTTATTTAATCAATATTAGAGTCAATTTTACCGACTACACAACACGTTTTTATTATTACACTACATGTTTCGACCTCAAGAGGTTATCCTCAGGTGTACGAACAACTGTATAATTACATGCAATCACATTCGTTTTTCTCACTTTCACAGATCCAGCAGCATCAGAGGATGCAGAAGAACAGCGAGACCTCCAAAAAAAGCGAACGTGCAACCAATATAATAAAGTTGAACTTTAATTCATGAACTTTTAACCGGTGGTAGTAATTAAACTAGTTGAAGTGAACTGGACGCAGTGGTGAGCGTAAGTAGGAAGTGACAGAAAAACAAGTGAAAGTGAAAGTATAAACAGTGATCTGAGTCGAACTTCGATTCACGAAATTTTAAAAAATTTTAACTTTTAACTTTTAGAATAATATTTTAACTTGTGTTCTATAAGAAGAGCTTGATATATCATTGAGCGTAAGCCTGAATAAGAAGGAAAAACGAATGTGATTGCGTGTAATTATACAGTTGTTCGTACACCTGAGGATGACCTGTTGAGGTCGAAACATGTAGTGTGATAATAATAAAGTGTTGTGTAGTCGGTAAAATTGACTCTAATATTGACTAGTGAGTCTGATTCTTGAATATGGGGCGGCGTGCTGGGATCCTTATACAAAGGGGCAGATAAATGCACTAGACCGAGTCAAAAACATGGCGGCTAAATTTGCACATCATAGAAATGATTCAAATTGGGAAACCTTGACAGAGTGTAGAAAGATATCTCCCATATGTGCTCTCTTCAAAGTGTACATGGGAAAACGGGCTTGGAAGGCTATAGGGGATAGCTTACAAAGACCATGCTATCTGAGCAGGGTCGATCATGATAGGAAAATTTGGAGCAGAAAGCTAGAGACATATCAGAAAATATTCCTTTGCAAATAGGACCATCGAGATTTGGAACCGCCTACCTTCAGATGCTTTAGGGACTCTCTCCTGTAAATCAAGCAATTTTAGGAAAAGGATTAGGAAAGCAATAAACAATGCAAAGTGAAGGGATAGAGGAAATCATCCAAAAAGGCAATGAAGTGAAGTGAAGTGGGATAAAGGGAAAGTCATGGTGAACTGTGGGTGCATCAGAACATAACATTACACATTCCAGTACTATTACTATTTAGTGTATTTCATTAATATTAATTTATATAATTGTAGTTGTAACTGTATTTGTTACATTTGTAAGTGTAATTTCATTGTAATCACTGTGTGCTAGTGTGTCTTTGTTGTTTGTGTAGTTTTGTGTGCTGTGTTTTTTTTTTGTAGTGTCATGTGTGATATTTGTGTGTTGTGTCTTATTGTAGCACCACTGCCACCAGGCAAATCCCACTTGCAGTTTAAATAAATAAATAATAATAAAATAACTACTGGCACCGGGCATAAACCCACTTGCAGTTTAAATAAATAATAAAACAATACAAACCTGTGGGGTTTTGTCGTTACTCCAATGACAACCCACTTCTTCGGAAAGTTTTTAGGTCCTGAAAAGGACCGTTGGCTGCGGGGATGTTTGGCCGATGAAGTAGCGCTACGTACGCAGGTAGAAAGAGATGTTGGTTGAAGGGTGTTGACTAATGCTGTCACGGCAGCTGAGTTGATCGTCTTGCCGCAGTGTGGCAGTTGCCGGAAGTTGCCTGGTGGCAGTGCGGCAGTTGCTTGGTTGCACAGCGTGGTTGCTGGTGGAAGTCTGCTTGTGGAGCGCGGTCCCTGGAGTGGAGAGGCTGTAGCTACGCCAGATGCCCAGTGAGTCGGGCATGACCGCTGGAGAGCTGAGGCAGCCCAGTGAGTCGGGCATGCTGTCAGAGCATCGAGACGGCCATTCCTGGCGCAGCGCAGAGCCGAAGACTCCAAATACCGGGCGCTGAGGACGAAGTGTGCTGGCTGGTGTTGACTGTGTGTAGAATGCTTGTAGACTGATCGTAGACTGATGTTGCCGGTCAGAGTCAGAGTCATGTTCCAACTGAAGGTCAGTCAGTCTGTCTGTGTTGGTGTCGAGCCTCAGTTGGGGCTCACGACAAGATATTTCTTTGGAATGAAAGTTACTGTCTTGTCTATGGTGAGCACTCTCTCTGATGAGAGGTCGGGTCTGTCATTTGTCAGTCAGTCTGTATTATTAAGTCCACTGTCTGTATTTACATACATTTACATAGAAACACTTATTCCTTACTTCTGTGTACAATATATACAAGGACTCTGTTAGTCCAGGCTAGGTACAGCAGATTATGCCCTTTCTTCTTCTTTTCCTAGTAGTATTAGCTACCACGGCAGTCTACTCACTTGAACGGTCGTATGCCTGACCGCCGCCAAGTTTAAGCCTCTTATACTTTCTGTGGTGGGCTTCGCCTTGTCCGATGTTGCGAACATTCTCATTATCATGATTTTGTATGACTTCTGCTTGTTGCCTGCATAATTTTGTTATATAATCATATATGTATGGAATTTTGAATGCCATGTGCAATTCGCGGACCGGTGTGCGCCTTGGAAAATTGCCAATGGTGCGGAGAATCTTGTTTTGCAGGCACTGTAATTTCACTAGATCGGTGTCTGCCGCAAACTCCCAGGCGGGACTAGCATAAGTCATTACGGATCTAATAAGAGCTTCATGAAGGGTCAGTTTAATGTTAGAGCTCAATTGCTCACATTTGAATAGGGAATATATGAAGGGGGACCCAAAAATAACCGGAACCGACCTGTTGCGCGCACATGCTTTGTAGTTACGAGTTGTGCTGCTAGGTGGTGTTAGCTGGGGGTCTCCCGCGACTGTTAGTGAGCTGGCGTCAGTCTAAGTTAAGTGGTTTCTCTGTGGTGCTCTGTTGTGTGCGTTCCTGTTTCAACCCTGTGGCGATTAGTGAGATGGCCGACCAGAAGGAACAAAGAGTGTGCGTGAAATTTTGCTTTCTGTTAGGGAAAACTGCAGCCGAGACTGTTGGGATGCTTCGGCAAGCCTTTAATGATGATGCTTTGGGGAAATCACGGGTCTACGAGTGGTTTTCCCGTTTCAAATCTGGCAACATGTCAACAGAAGACATGCCACGCCCCGGGCGTCCTTCGACAGGAAGAAATGACGAAAACATTGCCAAAATCAAACGTGCAATTGATGAAGATCGTCGAAAGACCATTGACTAACTTTCTGAGGAAACAAACATCTAATGGAGCACGGTCCAGCGAATTTTAACCAAAGGTTTGCACATGAGACGGGTGTCTGCAAAAGTTGTTCCTCGCTTGCTCGGAGATGACCAAAGAGAAAACCGCGTGAATGTTTGCCGCCACTTGAAGAGTGAAGTGCAGAACGATCCAGAATTTCTTAAAAGAATTGTGAATGGCGATGAGTCTTGGTGCTATGGGTACGATCCAGAATCAAAGCAATCACCAAGCCAGTGGAAAACTCCAACTTCACCACGACCAAAGAAAGCGCGTCAAGTACGATCCAATGTGAAAAAATGTTGAGTTCTTTTTTTGATATGAATGGCATTGTCCACAAAGAGTTTGTTCCGCCAGGACAAACAGTAAACCAACATTTTTACGTGGATGTGTTATGAAGATTATGAGAGTGTGCGACGAAAACGGTCCGAAATGTGGAGAAATGGGAACTGGTTGCTTCACCACGACAATGCTCCAGCCCACACAGCTTTGACAGTCCGACAGTTTTTGACAAGCAACAACATGGTGATTGTGCCTCATCCACCTTACTCACCCGACCTGGCTCCGTCGGACTTTCTTTTGTTTCCACGGATGAAGAGAAGTCTGAAAGGAAAGCGATTCCGTGATGTGGATGAAGTCAAAGAAAACACGCTAAAGGCTTTGAACAGTATCCAGCCTCAAGAATTCCAGCACTGTTTTGAGCAGTGGCAAAAGCATTGGGACAAGTGCATTAATGCACATGGACAATACTTTGAAGGGGACTAATATACAGTTCAATAAAAATGCAAAAATAAAAAATAACAAAAATAAATTCCAGTTATTTTTGGGTCCCCCGACGTACTCTAATGAATGTTCTGAAGGCCTTGGCTTTGATCATTTCTATGTGTAATCTACATGTCACTCTCTTCTCGAAGATTACACCTAGATATTTTGCACTATTTACAAATAGACAGGTGTCGTCCGCAAGGAGGGCATCATTTATGTACAATTTGAAAAGAGTAGGGGAAAGGGCAGAACCTCGTGGCACCCCTGCTTGCATTTCCCTTGGCGTTGACATTTCGCCTTCAACCGAGACCCTGAATTTACGTTTAGAGAAAAGGACCCAATAAGCTTGGTCAAACATTTACAGAATTCCAATTTTGATAACTTATAGAGCAAGCCTGAGTGCCACATGTTATCAAAGACTTTTCGATCCAAGAACACTGCAGCCGTAGACATTTTATTGTTGAAATTAAGAGTCATGTGGTCCGCCATCCTCATATATTGCAATGTCGTGCTGTGACGTTCACGAAAACCAAACTGGCTTGCGTTGAGCAGGCCTCTTTCTTCAATATGTTTACAGAGGAGTTTCAAAATTACTTTTTCGAATAGTTTTCCTGTCGTGGACGGGAGGCTGATTGGACGTAAATTTTGAGGGAAATTCGGATCTTTACCGGGTTTGGGTAAAGTTATTAATTGTGCTTCCTTCCAAGTACTTGCAAAATGAGAAAGCCAAAAACAATGATTAAATAAACGGGTTAGATTAACCAGTGGTCGACTTGGAAGGTGCCTGAGGCATTCATTTGGGATGCCGTCAATTCCCCAGGCCTTTTTTAGTTTCAGAGATTTTATTAATAATCTGTATGCCACATGGTCTGATTCTTTGAGGGGGGGGGGTTTGTCTGCAGTTTCCAGCAGAGCTTGAACTCTAGCCTCCGCCCGCTCTTTGTGGTTTTCGTCACACTGGTCATGTGCCGTGAATTGCATTTCCAAACAGTCGGCAATTCCGTTGGCTTTTTCAGAAGGATAAAATTTAAGGCCAGAAGAACCATGAATAACAGTTGGTGCCCTTGGTCCGTCTCTCTTAGGAGAGATTTCGGAATGGGCCATATACGCTGAGGTGTGACTTCAGCGTTAACTATTTTTGTTTCCCACCGTTCAAGTGCCCTTTTATGGGTCATTCGCCTGATTGATTTGGTGACCCAACTGACTGCCGTTTTACACGCTGGATCCCTGGTTTCTTGCCACAGTCTTTGTAGCCTCTGTTTATATTTTATCAATCGATCTAGACTAGGAAGTTCTTTGTTTATGTCCGAAAGTGTACTTTTACTTGTCGATACCCTATATGCCGAAGCAATAGTGGTTGCAAAGACGCGTGCCACTTTAGCGGCTTCTACCCCAAAATTAATTTCTAGTTTAGGTGATATTAACTCAGAGGCGAGGTTTTGAACCCGCTCCCAATCTGTAAATTTTTCAATGGGTTCCGAAAGATTCCTCATTTAAAGTAATCCAGTCTGTGGAATATTATATGTGGGTGATCTGAATCCAAAATATCAGAGACGGTGTTATCTGACACTCTGATATTTTGGTGATCAACAATATCTAACACGTCACCATTTCCCGCGGGGAATAATGAGTGGGGCACAGTGGTGATGAGATTTCGAAATCACTCTTATCAAATAAACCAATGAGTTTCAAGCCTGAGGAGTTTGAAAGTCTGCTATTCTAAAATGGGTGCTTAGCATTCAGATCACCTGCCAAAATAGTCTTACGTCTAAAGCTTAAGAGCTCAGTGATGTCAGCATCACTCAAGTCTCTGCCTGGGGATTTATATACAGCTGCAAACAGCCCTTCGCTATTACCAATTGGTATGCAGACCCTGTAGCTTCTAATGAAACAAGGGGTGGTAGGTCTACATGGTTATGGGGGATGCCTTTTCTAACTGCAACGGCAGTTCCGCCTTTTCTGCCCGAGTTGCGGCCGATTATATAAAAGTAGTAATTTGGAATAAAGGATCTCTCATGAGGTTTCAGATATGTCTCTGAAAACGGCCACATCTACGTGTAGGTCTTGCAGCTGTTTACTGAGCTCATACCGCTGCCTCCCAATGCCGTTCCATTAAATGCTATGACTTTGAGAGGACTATGACATCTACTGGCCATTTTGTTTCATTAGGTTTAGAACAAATTTAGTAATGGTCATTATTTTTTCCTCCTAGGTCACTGCACCACTGATCTCTGTCATAATCTGCTGTATTACAGTTACTACTCTCAACATATTGTCGAGAGATGGACTGTTTACATGAGTAGCCTGAGCTGACTGACCTGTTTTTTTCATATACAGGGACCGGGACGCTCGGTTTCGTGGCTTCTGGTGGAACTGCCAGTGGTTCTTAGCGAGTCTGAGGTCGCTGCTTCTGAGATATGCTGCCTCGGAGTGCCGCCACAAAGGAGTCTCCAGGATTAATGATATTTGAGGAGAACACTCTTCCCGCTGTGGTTTTGGGTGCCCTGTGCGAGTTCTTCCTCTGCATCTCTTCCTTCGCGTGACTGCAGCCCCGTTAGTTGGTGGGATGTGGCTTCTCTCCCTACTAGAATTGGCAGTTGCAGCATGCTGGAGTGGAGGCAGTGTTCTCTTTCTCTGGACACTCTTTGTGCTGCACATGCAATGGGAAGGTATTTTCAATTGGCCCATACGTAGCCAAACTGTTGCCAGTTGTGACACTGCGTAAGGCCACTCTGTGCTCTATATGCCTCAACCCGGATGGAAATGTGGCAAAGGCTTTGTAGATGGAAAATTTCTTGCGATTTGCCGCCCAGGATAGGGTGATAAGGAAGAGTGGAAGAT